TGCCTATTTCTCGTTGTTCGCTTTGTGTTGCCGCAGTATTCGCCACAATATATTCCAGTGGGCGTGGAACGCATGAATGTATATTCGCTATGAAATAAAAGTGTTACTTGAAATAGAAATCAAGTAATTTTTAAGCAAATAAACAAAACCGACTTCAATTTTCTTATAAAAAAAAAGATCGGATCTAAACCAATGAAGTAAGTAAATCTAATTGGCTTGTGTAATGGCAGGATAATTTTTGAAAAACATTTAATAAATTTGATGCTAATGAAAATATATGCTTTTCTGTGTTTCTTTCGTCAAAAATTCCATTTCCGCAGTTGTATTAAAACCGTCGCACAGTGGGCGATTTGGCTAATCTAGCGTAACGAAATTAATTAAATTAAAAAAATTTCACAAAATTTGTAGTTTTCATGTAACATTTACTCAAAAAGAAAATAATTTTTTTTTATAATTTTAATTATTATATTTTTGTAACTAAATTTGTTTACTTTATTTTCGCCATTTATAAATATTGTTCAAATTTAACATTTCCATAGAATGCTCGATATGATCACCCTAGTAGCCATTATACGTTTTACATAAATCTAGAAAATGCTATATATACTTATTTCCATATATACATACATACATACATACATACCCACATACATATGTATATTCTATTTACATAGAACCAACAGTAAATGATCAGAATTTCAGTAATTTCTAGCTTCAAGTAAAAAGTAGTGGGCGCGTCGGAATCTGCAAATTCTTTAAAAAAAAAAGCATTTTAACCTACCAACTAAATCTTATTTAAACTAACAAATTTTGTATTTTCTTACGAAAACGACCAAAAATTTGTCCCTAAATTAAATTTATATACAAAGCGTGTAATGTTTAATTTAAACAAATGGAAAGTTCTACCTACTTTGGCTGTTTTGCAAATCATCAGCTTAGCTTTAGCAATGATGTCCGAAGGTAAAAACAAATTGAAATATAAATTTACAAGCTTATTTGTGTTATACGAGTACCAACCCCAAAACAAAGTCGCTTGACTCGAATAAAATTAATTTTGATGATGCAGTTTTTATCATTTTTTTTTATAATTGTTAAATATATATTACATCCATAAATGTGTTTTTTTAGAATTAATGGAGGTCTCTTGCATTGACGATGATCAGTGTGTCTATTACGAAGCGGAGGACATCAATTCCATTTGTTTAAATGGCATTTGCCATTGCCACAACAACAAAACGAATATGAAGACCTTCTGCAAACCGAAGGTAAATTACTTTTCAACGATACGAACAATGGTGAAAATCAAGTTGTTATTTTGAAATAATTTAAAATAAGAATTCTAAATAAGTAGCTCTGTAGACTCTCCGTAGAAACAATATAATCGGCGGGAACTGTCCATGTAAAATACCAGATGCCAAATGTAATCTACTGGAAAATATCTGTTATTGCATAGAGGATTATGTGCCCACGAAGGACCGAAGGCGGTGTATTCCAAGTGCGTTAGCCAGCAGTAAAGACTTTACTTTCAAATTATTTACTTTTTATTTTTGTAGAGGAAGTACCATTAGGTGAGATATGTGCGACGGACGAACAATGTCTCGCCTCGAGCATTTTCAGTCACTGTGCCAATAATACGAACCGTTGCACCTGTAATGATGACTTTCAGAGAAAAGGTACCACCTGCCTGGCGAAAACTGGTGAGTTATAAAAAATATCGAGAAAAGTGCGTTATTGTAATGATGAAGAATTCTAAATATTCTTAATACCTATAAAATGGTCCGAAATAAAATTAAGGCATATATCCTGCTGCACGTCCTCATCTTAGGAGTTTGCACTGGAACGCAGCTATATGTATTTGGGAGCATCGCCAAAAAGAGTGTCTGTTTTTCCTCCGGAATTATAAAACTTATCTCAAAATATTTCATAAAATTATGAAGACTTACGTGAGCTGTACTGATTTGAAAATACCTGCGCTGTTAAGTTTTTAAACATTTTTATGCAGACCTTCTAAACTTAAACTCTTCTATCGTCTGAGATGATTTTTTGAAAAAATATTTTTAAAACTATGTAGCCTTTTTTTATCGATTTTCGGAGGCAGTTGCAAATTGGTCCAGCTCACGTAAACCTTAATATCCTTTCTAAATATAAAGAATTTACAATTCCGGTGAAAAACAGTGCCAATATTTTTTTTATTTTTTTTTGTAGTAGAGCGATGCATCCTTATGTATATTTTTTATTTTCAAATTACCAATAATATAATCGAACCGTAAAATTAGATATTCCGTTTCTTCAAATGTTCTAAGTTCCTTTGCCTACAATATCTTTTATACATTTACAAATCTTTTGCTCTAGCTCCGAAAGTGCTTGGACTCAAGTGCACTGTTGAAAATAACTGCACAGAACATGGATCGCACAAGATTTGTTTACAAGACATTGATGAGTGTGTATGCGAACAAGGCTATGTACGCGCTAACGGCTCAAAAGATTGTCTACCAGGAAAAACAATTGGGGAGAATTGCCTCGTTACGCAGCAATGCAATATAAAGATGGGACCCGGAGCTGTGTGTGAAAATGGCAAGTGCCGCTGTGAGGAGGAATATGCGGTCGTAAAGAAGCAAAGTGATGCCAGTCCTACGGAATTAATTTGCGAGCGCTTAGTGCGTAAGTATAGTACATATGTATGTATGTAAATTAGACCGTACCACCTTACAAGCAAACAAAAGAAGTTCGCCATACACCCCTCAGTATAAACTATTTTTGCAAGGCAATTTAAAAAAAAAAAATATTTACATTTTGAGGTACAACTACATTCGGCAATAGCATTTTTAAATAGTTCCACTGAAGTAATTGAAATACTTTCTTAGCTTTAATTTAGTGCGCTTTGATTTACTGACATTAGGGTGGTACGATAGTGTGATCAGAACTAAGGGTAAGTACTAGAACGGGATGATTTAGGTCTATGAACTTTGGACCAAAAAAAAATAGTCTCATCGAGAGAATAACATCGATTTGTCTTACTTTAAGATCCGACTGCATGGCCGAGGATCATATCCTCGATACAAAAATTTGAAATCGAAATTGCCTTGCAAAAGTACTTAATATTAAGGGGTGTACGACGAACTTTTTTTCTACTAAGGTCCAATGTGCATGCATATCCACATATACTTATGCCTCAAAAATGCGGTAGTTAAAATATTTGGAATATGTTCCTTGGCAGAAATTGGTCAATATTGTAGTCACCACGGACACTGTCACAATGGACATCTCATCGAGAAGGAGCAGTTGTTGCAATGCGAACACGGTGAATGTGTCTGTCGTTTTGGCAATAAAAATCAAGAGCCTTGCAGTACCTCCATGGCCAATAGAGTAATGGCATACAATATTTGTTCATGGCTGATGTTGGCGGCAGCAGTTTTTCATTGCCTTGCGTTGGGATGTGGATTTAGAAAATATTGAAAGTTTACAAATGTATATGAAAGAAAAATTTACTATTTTGTTGAATTTATTATGTTATATATTTCTTGTTACTGTTAAGCGATTACATACAATGAATTTTTGAGGTGAAAATATTTGAAAGATAACCACAAAATTTGCTTAATTCAAATTTGTTGGGCATTCCCAGGATGCTTCCTACAGGGCATTTTATTCGATAATAACGCTCGAATTGGAATTATGATCATTCCGAAAGCTTAGGATTTTTCCTCCTGTGCCGAAAAAAAAACTATTTAAATATGTACATCCACTGATGGCCTGTCCAATAATGTGGAAAAATTTTAATAAAGTCTGGATAAAAAGTTTTGTTCTTTAACCTTTTTTCTTAGATGCAATTAAGAACTGGCAAATGTAATTATGTACATACATAAAATTAACGTAAACCAAGGCACAGTAAAGAGGTATTAGCACTATTGTTGATTTTGCACTCTAAAATTTAAAAATAGGTAAAAAAATTACATTTCAGAGTAAAATGCTAGCAAAAAAAAAAGCAGATTACAAGCGCCAACGCGAAACTAATCAAATCAGCTACGCTGCTGCTGCTACCAAGTCCGGATTTCTTGGCACAGACTAATACGGTGTTTACATGAGACGATTTCAATTTGGAAATTATTTAGCTAAAGAACGGAAAGGAGGCTAACTTAAATTTACTATTTTAGGTTTATTTGATTTATTTATAATAAAAAATTAAGCTTTTATATTATTGTTTTTATATATATTTAACTGAAAGGCATTGACAAACTATTAACCAATTAATAACTTTTCTTATAGGTTATGTCCCTTTCTAACTAATTATTTGTTGTTTACTTACATATGTACATAGATATACAAATGCACATGTGTATGGACATATATATGCATATTATTTTTATTAAATTAATTTTTGTATTTAAGTATTATTTTTTTAAACTTATCTACTTATTTATTCATTCATTTATTTGTTGGTTATTTATGTGTGTTAATAATGAAATAGATATCAATTATAACTAATTTCATTTACTATAAATTAATTTAAGACTTCTAAGCTCATAAAAAATTTTAGGTTAAATAATAAACTAAGGTTAAGTTCCTTCAATAGTATTTAGCAACACGCAATTATTAAATAATTGGTTAAGCGAATTTATCTATCAACTTTAAATATTTATAACTTTCCTTCAGAAGTTTTATATAAATTCTTATCCATCGCAAAAATTTCGTTAAGAACCCACAACAGAAAGATTACTTCAAAAGGCAAAATAAGAAACATTTTTTAATTTAATAAATTTTTTACTCAAACCTTGTATAAACTTTTTTCTTTTTAACTTTGCTTACATGGTTTGGTCACAAAATTTTTTCGAAATTTTCATTATATGCGCTTTACTTTCAATGTATGTCCATTCATGTGTACATGTATTTATGTATATTTTTATGATTAAAAGTAATTGAGAATTATTTATAAATTTAATTTTAATAAAATTATATTAATTAAGCTTTCACAACTTATGGATATAAAAGAAAACGTTAAAAAATTATTTTTTCGAGGAAATTGTTCATTGAAAATTTTTCAATAAACATTTTTCCAACTCAAAGTAGGGCAATTGATTTTTCTTAATTGTTTTTAGTATCAAAACATTAACTTTCTTTTAAAGTATGTACATATATGCAAAACATAAAATTTTGTTAAAATTTGTATAATCAGATAATCCGATAACCAGGCCGGTGTGAACACTCATTCTATTTTACTTCTGCTTATAGGCGGTTTTTCTTCTAAATTTATATTAAACTAGCAAACCCGGGGGACTTCGCCCCGTCCAAAATTGAATTTTTATTTAAACATTTGGTCGAACATTTTCAACAACAATTCACGATCACGATTGGTTTTGTTGTCGCCAGAAGGCATATTCTCCATTGCCATCTTAAAGCATAAAGAGACGGCAGCGTTGATCCGGATCAACTCGGGAATTAATACACATTTTTATTTCACAGGAGAAGCAAAAAACATTAGAAAATGAGTATCAAAAAAAGGTGGCATGCGGTTGTTTTTGGTACTAACACTTTAAAATTTTTATTGAAGGTGTATTTAAATACAACCTACCAAAATCTGTGAAAACCCCAGTTTCAAAATAAAGTGGGTTAGGGCCTCCGTGAATTAAGGTAACGATATGTATCTACAGATAGGTAAAGGTTTCAGTATGCCTGGAGGGCGCCACGCCTCCTTTTCCAATAACCCCTACTTTTCTCCATGAGTATTGGATGGATATGAAATACCTCGGTATCTTGTCCATCTATCAGAAAAAAGTATCCTATAGGTTAATCCAGGCAATAACCTACCTACCTACCAAATTTCAAGCAAATCGGACCATAAATACGATTTTTCAAACAGAGCGGTTCCTGGTCCACATACCGAAAAAAATATCCTATATGCCAATCTAGGCAAAAAACTGCCTACGTGCCAAATTTCAAGCGAATCGAACCAAAAAAAGATTCTTTCGAATAGATCGGTCCTTAGTCAACTTCCCGGAAAAAAGGATACTATATCTTAATCTATGCAAAAAGCTACCTACGTACCAAATTTTAAGCAAATCGCACCATAAATACGATTTTTCGAACAGATCGGTTCCTGGTCCACTTACCGGCAACAATGTATTTTATATGCTAATCTAGGCAAAAAACTACCTACGTGCCAAGTTTCAAGCGAATCGAACAAAAAAAATATATTCTTTCGAATAGATCGGTCCCTGGTCCGCCTTCCGGAAAAAAGTAATTTTTTTGCCTTTGATAGGTGGTTGCTTAAATTTATTTACAAAGAAAATTTTATGAAAATCTGACCAGCCGTTCGGGAGATTACTTGTTACAATAAAAGGGACTCCTCTTTAGATAATTAGTATGGATATTGATTTACGCTTTACTTAAATATCTAAATTGGCTTAAGATAACATATTTCTACTCGTCTTTATTCTATTTAAAAAGAATTCTCTGCACTTAACGAAAACTTACCTTTCCCCTTTGTCAGCAATAAAAACCACCATTTAACAGAGTAATACATTTTGTCGCTCACTTTATTCTTGAGGTTGATATAGTACATAGTTTCGTAAATTTTCTTTTATACATAGTACATACATAAATTGTATTTAATTTATATTCAATAGTTTTTTCTACAACTGTTTGCTGCTCTCCAATTATTTTACAGTTTACAACATTACATTATTAAGTATTATTGTTACTTGCAATAGTTTTAATAACTTTTCCAAATTGCTCAAAGAAAATACAGTAATATTTTGTATGTGTTTAATTTGAATGAGTAATAAAAAGCTTCAAAACTGGAGAAACAAAAAGATAGCATGTGTATGTAATGACTTACTAAATTTGTGAACTGATGACTGGCTGGTTGGATGCTTGGAGCCAAATCTCGACTTCTGGATTTTCACAGAGTTTGGCTATTTAAAGTTTTAAGATTGCTGTACATACCAAACGCTTGGTTTCGTGTGCGTGCGAGACAATATAGGACAGACCGGTTAATACTTGTAATGACAAACATGCATAAACATTTTTTTTTACTTTCTTTAATTAAAAATATCTTAGTTGGAATGCTCTATATGTAGGTGTGAGAAATTGTGTGCGTGTAATGTTTGCAATTTGGTTGTTAAGTAAAGGTTTCAAACTTAATAACTAAAAAACGGTGAAAAAACAATATAGCAGCTTTTGAGGGTGGTAAGGGTGTAGGCGGCGATATGAAAACTGCTAATCAGGCAGGTTCTACAACTAACTACCGAGTGAATTTAAGCCAAGTTCGCTTTGAATTCAAATTGGCAGGGGTTGAAATTCACTCGGAAGTAAATTGCAGAACCTGCCCGAATATTTTTTACTTTTCTTCTGTGTAAGTTTTGTATCTTTTTCAAAATAATTAAAACAGTAATATATTTTTGTAATGAACGGCACGAAGAATAGTGCTCAGAACTGATGTAATTTGAAAAAATTTACACAAAGCGAAAATGAACAAGAAAACACAAGTTTCTGTTGCTTTGTTTACAGCAGTTATCTAATTTCATTTTTCTAAACATTTAGATATTTACATTATAATTACTGAGTGTGTTATCGTATTGCCTTGTTTATCTTTTACATGACTTTGACTTTTGCTTTATTTAAAGGTTCAATTATTAAGCGCATAAAATTTGTCTAACACATTTATAATTTAATAAACTATAATAAAATATTGTAACGCCACACATAGCGGACGTATGAATCATCAAACGCGTGCTATATAACATTCTTTTGTTTTCTTTTTCTCTAACCATATTCGCCCGACTATGATTAATTAGTTCCAGTTTCAGTTGCAGTTTGCAGCATATTTGCATTCATATGTACCATATGCACTTGTATATTTATCCCATTTTACAATTAACTCACTATAGCTGTTTTTAGAAAAACTGATTACATTGTATATTTAAAGAGGTATTAACGACTTTCCATGCGCCTTTTACTTTATATAATCAGTAAATTATGAATGCATGTAAGGCGATGGCGCGCATTGCGTTAAAACTGCAGCTTATAAGTAAAACCGATAAAACAAAAAGCAAAGTAACGTTTAAAAATAAATTTAATGGCGCGAGTCTCTGGGATAGAATTCAGCCAGAATAGAAGCTGGTATACGTTTCAGCATCTCCTTGGGGAAGATACGCAGCAACTGCCAGCCAATGTCTAACGATTCGAAGACGGTACGGTTTTCGTAGTTACCCTGCACAGAACAAAAAATTAACAAAAAGGGAATATTTGTATTGGAATTTATATAAAAAAAAACTTTAATTCCGCAAGAAGGAAACTCACTTGTGCAATGAAGTTCTTTTCGAATTTGGTCAAGAACTCCAAGTACAGCAAATCATCAGGCGTCAAAGCCTCCTCACCGACGACAGCCTTCATGGCTTGCACATCCTTACCGATAGCGTAGCAAGCATACAGCTGGTTGGACACGTCCGAATGATCCTTACGTGTCATGCCCTCACCGATAGCAGATTTCATTAAACGAGACAGCGAAGGCAATACGTTGACTGGTGGGTAGATCTGTCTGTTGTGCAGTTGACGATCAACGTAGATTTGACCTTCAGTAATGTAACCAGTTAAATCAGGAATTGGATGTGTAATATCGTCGTTTGGCATAGTAAGAATGGGAATTTGTGTGATTGAACCGTTACGACCTTCAACACGACCGGCACGTTCATAGATAGTAGCCAAATCAGTGTACATGTAACCGGGGAAACCACGACGACCGGGCACTTCTTCACGGGCAGCCGATACCTCACGCAAAGCTTCAGCATAAGAGGACATATCGGTAAGGATGACCAACACGTGCTTTTCGCACTGGTATGCCAAGAATTCAGCAGCAGTCAACGCAAGACGTGGAGTAATAATACGTTCAATTGTTGGATCGTTGGCCAAGTTCAAGAAGAGACACACGTTTTCCATAGAGCCATTTTCTTCGAAATCTTGTTTGAAGAATCGAGCAGTTTCCATATTCACACCCATAGCAGCGAAAACAATGGCGAAGTTATCTTCATGATCATCCAATACAGACTTGCCAGGTATCTACAAATACAAATACGACAGATATAATTTAAAACGTTAAATTTTTTAGCAAAATTTACCTTGACCAAACCGGCTTGACGACAGATCTGAGCGGCGATTTCGTTGTGTGGCAAACCCGCAGCAGAGAAAATGGGAATTTTTTGACCACGAGCAATAGAGTTCATCACGTCAATGGCCGAAATACCGGTCTGGATCATTTCCTCGGGGTAGATACGCGACCAGGGGTTGATGGGCTGACCTTGGATATCTAAGAAATCTTCAGCCAAAATTGGGGGACCTTTGTCGATGGGCTTGCCGGAACCGTTGAATACGCGACCCAACATATCCTCGGATACAGGTGTACGCAAGATGTCACCAGTGAACTCGCACACAGTGTTTTTGGCATCAATACCCGAAGTACCTTCGAACACCTGCACAACAGCCTTGGAACCGCTCACCTCGAGCACTTGTCCGGAACGAAGTGTGCCATCAGCCAGGCGCAGTTGCACAATCTCCGCGAATTTAGGGAATTTAACTTCGTCTAAGATTACTAAAGGACCATTGACACCAGAAACGGTCTTGTAAGCTACAATTTAAGAATAATTCCATGTGTATTATTTTAGCAATATAAAAAAACAAATAGTCGATCAGGAGTTGCGGTAGGCAAAGCAAAGTTATTTGACGATTGTTATCAAAGCAGATAAGGGAGTAATAACTACGTTACGAACGTAATGAACGTCAGCTGACTGCCTATTGAAGCAGCGACGAATGTCAAGAGAATGGTGAACGCCATAAAATGACGATAGCATTGTTGAAATATTAAATTATATAAATGTTTTAATTAATTAGCTGTTCTATTCTTCAAGAAACAATATACAACCACAACCACAGTATACAATTAAGTGGAATTTTTTTTTTATATTTACCATGTCGAGTGCTGTTAACCACACCTTAACCTTATACACTTCTGAGGGACTCATTTTCGAATAACTAGATTAAAATATTAAAACCATTTTTAGTCTCACTTAAAAGAAACTAGAATAGTTAAACAGTCTTAAATATCACTATAAAACCGATGTCCCGCACGATTGTGATTCAATAATTCTTGGATGTCCCATTGTATGCAACTTGGTCAGGTGCTTTCCCCCTCTCATTACTACTAATCATTCACAGAAGCACGAATGTCACATGACAGCTTATTCTACCCGAAAAGCGCTCATTTCTTTTATTTTATAGAAATGTTAAAATTTAATCTTGATGGGGAATCTCATGACTTCAAATGACTTCTTTCTCCAAACTTTAACGCTTGCTCAAACACAAAAAATTGGGTCAAAGAATTGTAAAAGTTCAGGTCAGGCAATCGCCCCACCAATGGAGCTACGTTGAATTTTTATCGATTTTTTCCATTTATGCTTTGCCACCGTGTCCGCGAAGCTCCACGGACTGTCATGGCGGACAGAATATTTTGCCAGCCCTTTCAGCTCAGTAAATATTTAAAAAATATCATTTTGATTACTCACTCAAACGTGGCTGGGAGATGAAATCCCTGGAAACAGCCAGGACGTGTTCCCTGTTAGCTTGTTTTGCTGATATCGACATTTTCTGCAAATTTTATTGCGCTCCGATTGCGACTACCACAAAATCGTTTACTGACACAC